CGCTGGAGACTGGAGGCAGGAGGATCGGCTTGAGGCCCAGGAGATTGGAGGCTTGCTTGTGAACTAGGGCTGATGCCACGGCAGCTCACTCTAGCCTGGGCAGCAAGTTGAGACTCCACGTCTCAATAAATACATTTAATTAATTCAATTAATTATGAACTAAAATGCCCCTCAATACCAGCTGACTGAATGGACCCCTCGTTGGCCATCAGGAGATATTCAAGGGCAAGTTGCCTGCCAGAGGAGGCAGGTCAGACAGGCCCTTATCATGCCCCCTCCTTCTTGGAGACTTCCTTTGTAACCCATTAACAGGCCAAGGGTATGCAAGACAAACCTGCGCAGCGGCCCCTCAGAGACTTCCTTTGTAACCCATTAACAGGCCTAAGGGTATGCAAGACAAACCTGCAGGCCCTCAATTTGCAACAAATGGTGGCTTATCTCTGCTAAACAGTTTATATTAAAACATTCCAGGTCTTTAGACAAAGCTTCATGTCTTTAGCCAATTACAATCTGAAGAATCTTTAAACCCACCTATAACCTGTAAGCTCTCCCCCCTCCCAGATGGCCCTCCTTTTTGGGCCAAACCAATGTATGCCTTCCCACCCATTGACCGATGGCATTACCCGGAACCCTTGTCTCCAAAATGTATAAAAACCAAACTGTAACCCAGCCACAGCAAGTCCACTTGCCCAAGGCCTCTTGGCAGTGGCTCCGGGTCATGGTCCTCAAATTTGGCTCAGAATAAATCTCTAAAATTATTTTGCAGACTTTGGCTTTTTTTCCGTTGACAGATACGAAATTATTTTTATATTGCCTACCTGGCTTCTTTTATGTACCTATACTAGCTCTAGCTTATTTATCTTTTAAACCCAAGGCACAAGCGAGCCGATTTGCATGCTGGCCCTCAGGGAAAGAGTTAGGTGACTGTGGTCTTTTCTGAGCTAGAAGGTGAGGCAGGAATGGGGTTGGCTTCCTGAAGTCCTAGGTGCCGGGGGCTGACCGCAGCCCAGCCCACGCCACCTCAGCTCAGCAGCATTGACATAAAAGTACTGCGGGTTGTATTTTAGGGCAGGGGGTTTACCCAGCAGGTACGTACTGTGTACAGTATGGAAATCTCCCCACCCTCACATCCTGCGTGGCTCACAGTGGGCCTCCTGGGCCGCACACTCATTGAGAAGGCTATATATAGCCGTGTGCCTGCCTTGCTTTTCAAAGTCGTAGCCGGGGAAACAAAAGTTATTGACTTGAAACCTCTTCCCACGTTCGGATGCATGCTTAGACTTCAGCCACCCATCATCTGCTATGTTTACACACACACACTCAGTACTTTATATGCAGTGTTTTGTGTTAACACTTATCACATCTCTTCAACCTTAGGCCAATGTAAACTGCATGAATAACTCTCCTTAGAATTGTGGTTTTGATGGCTTTTCTTCTTACAAAACAATGACTGTTGGTTTTGAAAATGGTGGTAAAAGTTATTAGGATCACTATTCATTCGACTCACTCGTTATTACTCTACCATGTATTTATTAATATTTGCCCCCTATTCTTCCTCTCTGTTTCTTCTGTGCATGTTCTACCACTGGTTTGTAAGCTCTCTGAGTTATACATGTTCCACCATATTCCTTGTTAAAAAAAATTACCCGAAATCTGTAACTAAAAAAGATGTGAAGCAAGCAACAGGTACGTTTGATGGCATATTAAAGCTTTGTTGAACGTGCCTGCCCAAGGATTATTTATCTAAAGGAACGAAAAAAGGCCATGCGCGGTGGCTCACGCTTGTAATCCTCGCACTCTGGGAGGCCGAGGCGGGTGGAGTTCGAAACCAGCCTAAGCAAGAGCGAGACCCCGTCTCTACTATAAATAGAAAGAAATTAATTAGCCAACTAATATATATACATAGAAAAAATTAGCTGGGCATGGTGGTGCATGCCTGTAGTCCCAGCTACTTGGGAGGCTGAGGCAGCAGGATTGCTTGAGCCCAGGAGATTGAGGTTGCTGTGAGCTAGGCTGATGCCAAGGCACTCACTCTAGCTTGGGCGACAAAGCAAGACTCGTCTCACCCCCCTAAAATAAAAAGTTTTAAAAATTTAATAAAAGAAACGAAGACAATAGAGCTGGATCGATAAGTCAAGACTGACAGTAATAATGTTTTTTGTAACAGCTATTGTGTCTATTTTATAGACCATAAAATGGCACCCATTGAAGTTAATTTGGTGTCTTTTAGTTGTAACTCGAGTGTAACAACCATCGACGAATTAATTTTAGAACAGTATTCAAACAGCCCCAAGAGGTTATCTGGTTACTGATTAAATTCTTCAGGCTCTTGAAGTTCCACAACTTGTAGGTTTCATTTCAGAAGAGATGCAAATGATTGTCTGTTTAGTTGGAGAACGAACCCAGAGGTTTATGATTTGATTTCTTACTGTAAGCATATAAGTGGTTTTGTTCTAAACTTGGTAGATGTATCCAACATTCTTTCTTCAATGCCAATGCCTGTTCTTCTAATTCTTCCTTTGGTGTTTTTTTTTATAGTTTTCAATTAGCAATAATCGTGCTCGGATAAACCTCACTGGCTATGTATATTGCCATGTGCAAGCTTCTAATTCTCCTTGAACTAGTTTTACCATTCTGCTGGTTCCCTCCTTATTAAGTTAATTAATCCTGTAACATGTGTTTCCTCTGAATTTGTATGAGAAAATGGTTTAAATTTTTTTTTTTTTTGAGACAGGAGTCTCGCTTTGTCGCCCAGGCTAGAGTGAGTGTCGTGGCATCTGCCTAGCTCACAGCAACCTCAAACTCCTGGGCTTAAGCAATTCCTGCTGCCTCGCTCCCAAGTAGCTGGGACTACAGCATGTGCCACCATGCCCGCAAATTTTTCTATATGTATTAGTTGGCCAATTAATTCTTTCTCATTTATAGTAGAGACGGGTCTCGCTCTTGCTCAGGCTGTTGCGAACTCCTGACCTCCAGCGATCCGGCCACCTTGGCCTCCCAGAGAGCTAGGATTACAGGCGTGAGCCACCGCGCCCGGCCTTAAAATTTTTGAAACATATTTGACACATCGTCTGAGTATATAATGGGCACGTAGTAGGCAATCAGTAACTATAGCTTGGCCTGGCACAGTGGCTCATGCCTGTAATCCTAGCACTCTGGGAGGCTGAGGTGGGAGGATCGCTTGAGTTCGGAGGCCAGCCTGAGCAAAAGCAAGACCCCATCTCTACTAAAATAGAAAAACTAGCTGGGTGTCATGGCCCAGGCCTGTAGTCCCAGCTACTGGGGAGGCTGAGGCAGGAGGATTGCTTGAGCTCAGGAGTTTGAGGTTGCAGTGAGCTATGATGATTCCACTGCAATCCAGCTGGGGCAACAGAGCAAGAATCTGCCCGAATATAGATAAATCAATCAATCGATTAATCAAGAAAGAAACAAAGACTTATATCTTGATTGATATGTAATCTGTCAGATTTTAAACTTTGGAGGAGAGAATAAATTTTCACAAGGTTTTAAGGAAAAATCAGAAAAAGAATTTTGAATGACATTTTGTACTTTTGTTCTCAAATTTGAATGAAGCTATTTATTTGCTTCTGTATCAAAGCTTGAATCAATAAATATTCTAAGAATATAAATTTACTGGCATAACATTTTATAAATCTATAAACTTAAAATGTTATTTCTTTCTGCATAGGTAGTATATGCAATGGAACAAAATCTGAAAGGTATAAAAGGAACGTTCTGGAAAATGAAGTCTCCATCCTGTTGCTCCCATCTGACAGCAAGTTGTCCCAAGGTAGCTCCTGTTACCAGCTTCTTGTTCATCCTTTTGTGCGTACACACACACAGTTTCAAATTTTTGTTCAAACATATATGATATACCATGTATACTATTTTGCAACTTGTTATTTTTATTTCCTGATATTTATTGAAAATTTTTCCATATCAGTACACATACTAGTTGCCTCAGTCTAGGTGTGTCCTGGTGGCCGATCCCTTCTCATTACTTTCATTGCTGCCATGCTCGTCTTACCCACCATCCTCTCCTGCGGAAGCCATCTTGTCTCCCCTGCTGTCTTCTCCGCACCTCTACAATTCCTTTTCAATATGGCAGCCAGAATGATCCTTTATATATGTGGGTCAGATTATCTTCCATTCAGAGCGAAGCCAAAGACCTCACCATGGCTTACAAGTTCTATCTGATATAATCTACCATCTACCATCACCCCAGTTGCCTCATCTCTAACCACTTTCCCCCTACCTCATTTCATTCTCATCGCTGCAACCTATTGGGAGGTTCTCGAACATACCAGGTATACTCTCACCTCAGGGTTTAGGCCCTTGCTACTCTCTCTAACTGAGAGGCTCTTCCCTAAACATCTCATGCCCCTCCCTCCTGACACCATCTCCTTTGTGGCTTTGCTCAAAGATCACTTCTCATTGAGTTTTCTTTAACCTCTACCTCCCCATTCTCCACAGCACTTATCAGCATTGGATATACCATATAATTTACCTCTTTACTGTCTATAGACAAGCTCCATGAGACCAAGGATATTGGTCTATTTTGTCCACTGTTGTATTCTCAGCACCTAGAACAGGGTCTGGCACCAAGTAGACACTTAATAATATTAATGGAATGAACGGATACATTTATGCAGCATGGAGCCTGGCAGAGTGGTTAATGCCTATAATCCCAGAACTTTGGGAGGTCGAGGTGGGAGGATAGCTTGAGCCCAGGAGTTCAAAACCAGCCTGAACAACATAGCAAAACCCCATCTCTATAAAAATTAAAAAATTAGCTGGATGTTGTGGCACATACCTGTAGTCCCAGCTACTCAGGAGGCTAAGGCAGGAGGATCTCTTGAACCTGGTAGTTTGAGGTTGCTGTGAGCTATGATGATGCCACTGCACTCTAGCCCAGGCAACAGAGTGAGATGCTGTAGCAAAAAAAAAGAAAAAAAAAAAAAGAAAGAAAGAAATTATACTGCATGGTACTTTTGTACTTGCATATTTGTGTTCTATTAGTGTGACCCAGCCTAGTGTAATTAAACCATTCCCACATTTTGGCTTCAACATGCTTTTGGTCTCTTGGTGAAGTTGCTTAACTTCTTAGAACCTTGATTTTTCCCTCTGTAAAATAGGGATAATAGTTGCAGCTACATTTTATAGGGCTTTTGTGAAGATTTAATTTTTTTTTAAAAGAATGCATGGTGATTAGCACCATGCCTGGGTTATAGTAAGGTTTAAATAATACAATTATGATTTCTCTCATTATTAATTATTCATCACAAATGGCCTGATGAGAAGAATATATAGTTCTATCTACATATCTCCAACTTCTTATTTTAAATTCTAATAGTGTTGAGTTTTAGTGATTATTCCCTTAGAATATAAGTCACTTTGTTCTTTTTTTTTTTTAGAGAAGTCATTCAACGTCTTGAGAAAAAATATTCGAGCTCTTCAAGGGTAGGAGATTTTATCTTTGCATACTCATTTTCTAGCTGGTCCCAAACAAAATACTTGCTGATTAATCTTCTTGAATAAATACATGAAAGAATGAATCTCAATGGGCACAACAAGCAAGTTCATGTTTATTGAGAAGCTGCCATGTGCCAGGCCCTGCCTTGGGCACTAGGGGTACAAAAAGGAACATTCTGTGGTTGAAGTTTATTTCAAGACCTTCACGAGCAATCATTGAGTTTTGGGGAATGCACGTTTATCTCAGAAATAATTTTCTAACTGGGGGAGGGGGAATTTGGATTGTTCACCTTGTGCAAAGTGAAAACAACAACAACAAAAAAAACTCCAGAAAGATATCTTTGCCACAATTTCCCTGAAGAGCTTTTCAAAGAAACAAAATGTCAACGGTGCATCAAGGAGACATCAAGCACGAAGCAGCAGGCATGCCAGCGCGGGGAATCCTACGGTGATTCAGGACCTCTGTGAATTCCTGTGGTTCTGAGTAAGTCCCTGCACCTATTGCTAACTGCCGCTGACACCAAGAACAAGACGAACAGGAGTATAACAGTGAGCCGTGCAGCTCGAGGTGGAGAAGAAACTCCATCTACCCTGGGTTACGAGAACTGGGTCAGAATCCAGTTTTGCACTCTGATCCCTAGCAAGACAATCCTCAGCCTCAGTTTCCTCACCATAAATATATATATATATACGTATATATAATATATATTTTTTTTTGGAGATAGTATCTTACTCTGTTGCTGGATACAGTGCCGTAGTGTCAGTCTAGCTCAAACCCCTGGGCTCAAGTGATCATCCTGCTCAGCCTCCCGAGTAGCTGGGACTACAGGCATGTGCCACCATGCCTGGCTAATTTTCTTATTTATTTTAGTTGTCAAGCTCATTTCTTTCTATTTTCAGTAGAGACAGGTCTCGCTCTTCTTGCTACGCTGTTCTGAACTCCTGACCTTGAGCGATCCTCCCACCTCGGCCTCCAGAGTGCTAGGATTACAGGTGGCCACCGTGCTGCCATAACATTATATTTTAAAAACTAACCTGTTCAAGGAGAAGTGGGTGAGAAGTCCTCCATGTCCTGGAACCACTGTCCGAATGAGACTCTGTTCTGACAGCCAGCAGAAGTCCTTTGGACCATTCATTCACGACATCCCCTTCTGGACGCCAGCACTGTGCTACCTGCGCACTGGGGTACAGAGCGCAACAATCGGCAGGATCCTACCCTAGCAACACACCACCACCATCCAGGATCTATCCCAGGAAGTAATTCAGCAGAAGCAAAATACATTTGCAAACGATCCTTGCAGGGGCTTTGTAACAACCACAAAGCCAGAAACAACCAGATATTTACAAAGCATAGTGTTCCTAAATTATGCATCCAACATTTGATGAAAAAATATCCAGCTACCCATGCCTACCCCGGCAGGGTCAGCCTGGCCTGTGGCGGTAGTGATTTGTTTAGGAGGAGGCTGGTGACCCTGCCCCAAGGGGTGGCTGCTTGGAGGCTAGGCAGAGGGCTGTGTGAGGGTGACAGTCACAAAGGACAGAGGAGGATAAATGCGGTGGAGCAAGAGATTTAGGCAGAAGCCTACAGGGAGATGGGCAGTTGCCTTCGCCCCCTTCTTCCAGGGACGCAATTCGTGGCTGGTGGAGTGGAGCTGTCTTAATGAAGAAAACGATGAGCAGTGAATGTTTTACTATTACACAGCCCAAAGTACCGTTGCATGGGTGTGTTCACACTCTTCATGGGGGACCTGCAACGACAATGTACAAGGGAGGAGAGTATTGGCATTTTCAAGTATGCACCAATGTTGAGAGGCGACTTTCATCTAGATCAGCAAGAAAGGAGAGGTGATTGATGTGCACAACGTGCTCGAATGTGACCGTGGCATCGCTCCACAGCCCCATCCTCCCGCTGCCTGATGTCATGCTGCTGCCGCCCCACTAAAAATCTGTGAAGAGCATGCAGAAGGCCGGTTCGCCAAGGGAGAGGTCGCAAGCCCACAAAGATTGGAGCTCACCAGGCTACTTCCCTTGAAGTTCGTCAAGATCTCCATCCACGATCGCGAGAACAGCAGCTGCGCTCAAGCTCGCCACTGCGCACTTTTACGCAGCTGTGTCGCCTCTTCAGACGCGCGAGAAACGCTCTTTTGCTACTGGAAAAACTTGTCTATCTCCTGAGGCCACCAGCGGACAGCTGCAGCAGTGCTCCGACAGTTCAGACTTGTGATACAACAGGGGACAACAGAAGCCTAGGGGTAAGCATGAGCAGAGACTAAGGAAAATGGGCAGGGGTCAACGCTGCTCGCAGAGCCTTGGCACTCTCCTGGAGCACCTTGAGAAAGGATCCATTTGCAAGGGCTCAGGACCACATGAGTTAGCCACTGGGGACTTATCCCATTGAGGAGGTTCAAGTGCTTCCCTAGAATGTCCATAAGGCTGATTCTCCAGAGCCCACCCTTAGGTTGTCAGCATACCGCTGGGCCTCACCACCAGGGTTTGTAATCCTCCATAGCACTACCTGATTGTCCCAACTCTTCCCTGAACGACTTCACACCCCAACCCAGGGTAGTCCGATTGTTCGGAACATTTTTAACAGCCCAGAGGAAGCTTCTTCCTTTGAGTCATCGAGCTGCCTCCCTGTGACTACAGGAGCTGATTTTGGGTAATCAGCAACAACCTGCCTTGTATGATGCAGAGGGGTAATTTTAGTTGTCCCAAATGCAACATGTTTACCCCTGCCGCTGGCAATCGCCACTTCTGAGTCCTGTCCGCAGAGCCGGGTTGTAGTAAAATAAAAGCACAAAGATGGGCGTTGTATCAGTGCTGTCTCTGGTACCGATTATTCAACCAAACTGAGGACCACCAGGGGCAAGGGGTGGGGCACTAGATGGAATCTTGCAACATGGTGCAAGGCTTAGACTGGATCATTCAAAGGTTCTTCTAGCTATAAGCCTTGAGTCTTGTCGGGCTCCTGGGACCAGAGAGGCGCAGACAATTCTGATCTCCCTTCTATTGTTCTCCTCCCCTTGATGCAGGCCGCAGAGCTCCATGGAGAGGGGATCAGAGTGAAGGTTGGGCTTCACAAAGACTGCGCGAGGTGTCCTGCAGCAGCCTCTTCTGCTATGCGGAGAGAGGGATCCAACACGCCTGCCAAGGCATGCTCCAAGACAGCAGCAAGGGACAGCAAGTGGCATGACAACAGGCAGGGGTAGGCAACGGGCCGCCTGGGACGGGGCTAACAGCATAGCCGCAGCCAAGTCGCAGCGCTCAAGGCCAGGGGAGCGCGCTGCCCTGGTGGGGAGCCGCGCAGCAAAGAATCAAGGAGAAAGTGAAGCCAGCCAGGCGTGGCAAGGTGCTAGCCAGTGTCATCCTCAGATGCATCAACTTGGCCATGGTTGGTATCCGCAGCACTCCTCCGCGGGGCGACTTCCAGGCCTGAGACGCAGGGGCTTGCCAGTCTCTTCCCAGGACAGCAGCCGAGTCTGTGTTTGCCAGGCGCCACGCGACGGCGCGCGGCTGCGGCGCGGACCCCTCGTGTCGACGTTCAGAGTGACGGCTTACACTGAGCGACACGAACGGAAGCAGAGGGTTCTGCAATCCCACGCTGAACCCGAAGGCACAATAAGGAGAGGAGACACAAGAAGACAGAAATACCAGTAGAAATTCCCATCACCACAGGAAAGGGGGAAAAGACGCGGAAACGCCTTCGCCCCGGTCTCTCCACCTCAGGAACGCAAGAGATGACAAAAAGGAAAGGGCAACGCCACCGAGGCAAGAGCACGGCCCTCTCGCAAGCTCCAGCCACACGCCGCGCAGAAAGGAGTCCGACGGGTCGCTCCACAAGCTGGTCAGAGCCGATCCGCAGGCAGTCAGGCACTTTGAGTAAGGAAGCCAGTAAAATCAGCGTCTTTTTGAGGAGGCTCAGACCCGCATCTTCTATTCAAAAGCCTGTCCACTGAAGGATACAGAGGTAGATATCCTGACGCACGACGGTGGAGAACGCAACATAAGGCCAAGGTGGAGAACCCCGGATGGCAAGGAGGTGGGAGGTGCTCAGCAGCTAGTGACGTCTGGACGGTGAGATGATACTCTTTGAAAAAAATCCATTAGAGAAGGAGCCAGGGCAAGAGGCTTGCAACGGAGACCCAGGCTCAGGCAAGTGTCCGAGAGAGAGAGACAAGCCCGTTATTCCAGCTTTCTTTACTGCAATTTAAATAATAAAGCAAACTGTACCAACTCCAAAAGAAATGCATCTCTTTTGACATTCTCTGTCGCTAGCCTGAACAGTGACGCTCAACGTGGCTCCTGTGATGGTGACTGCAGGCAGCCTGAGGCACACAGCTATCTCTTTACCAGGCCACAGAGTCAA